CGGACTCGACTGGCTTTCGAGCAAGGGAGACCTTTACCTTTACCTATAATAGATGTATGTTCAAGGTAAATCAGTTTTGTGCTTTTTATTTTTATTCTTTTATTTTTCTATACTGTTATATAAATATTGGTATCTCAAATATGATCAAAAGTAGGTTTCACCCAAACAAAACATCAAAGTGCAGGTTTACATTCTGTACAAATATTCAGATAGCGCCTTGTCAGTATCACGTCACTAGTCCCATGGGACTCGTGTAGAATTTGTGGGATATGCTACCCTAGGTAGGTTATTATGTCCGGCGTGTCTTGTTGTGTACCTAATAAAGCATGCTATGCACCACGTCGTTGTCCGTCGTCTTTCCATGCGGCTTCCCACTACATAACACGCCTTATATCCTTTATATACATCACAGTCCTTGAAAAAGATGGTATTCGGAACGGGTAAATTACTAGACTCCCCTGGGACTAGTGATTGTGATACTGACAAGGTGCTGTCTGAATAACTGAACAGAATGTAAACCTGCACTTTGATGTTTTGTTTTGTATCACAGTATAAAAAACATAAAATTGATTTACCTTGAACATACATCTATTATACACAGTGCTGTATACTTTTTGCATATCCACCTGGAGGTTAGCAACTTTAGTAAATATGGAGGAGGAGGAGGAGAGGAGATTGGATTTATACCCCGCCCTTCCCTTGGAGTCTCAGAGCGGCTTACAAACTCCTTTCCCTTCCCCTCCCCACAACAGACACCCTGTGAGGTGGGTGGGGCTGAGAGAACTCTGACACAAACTGCTCTTTTTCAAGGACAGCTGTGCCAGAGCTTGTGACTGACCCAAGGTCACATCAGCAGGTGCAAGTGGAGGAGTGGGGAATCAAACCTGGTTCTCCCAGATTAGAGTCCGCGCACTTAACCACTACACCAAACAATATGGATGCCAGCCAAAGCTCCCTCTAAGCTGTGGAGTCCTGTGAGAAACATTCGTAAAAACTGTGAACTAGCTGACACTCACTCAGCTTAGAGGGAGCACTGAATTGCCAACCTCCAGGTGGGGCCTGGAGATTCCCCTGGAATTACAGCCCATCTCCAGGCTACAGAGGTCAGTTTCCCTGGGGGAAAGCGGCTGCTTTGGAGGGTGGACTCTATGGCATTGGGCCCCACTGAAGTCTCTATCTTTCCCAAGCTTCACTTGACAACCTGGAGTGGGGAACAGGACCTGCCCACACTAAATGCAAATGTTTTCCTCTATGCTTGGTCTTGAATGGTTCATTCATACACACAACTTGTTTCCAAAGAGCTGTACCCGTTATTTGATAAACATGCAATATGCAAAGCATCCCTTAAGTGCCGCTCACCTATTTACGTATTTTTTTCCAGTCTGTCCTACAAATGTAGGTCACAGAGACCGTCTCTTTCAGAACTGCAAAACCTGCATCGTTGATTTCTGTATCTAAACAGTTGTTCAAAAACTGGGGGGGGAAAGGGGGGGGACTCAACCCAGGATATGACTGGGAACCAAAAAGGGCTAAGCTAAATCATATATATATAAGTACAAATATTTATTAAGGTGTACACATGTTAAAACTTTCCTGATTAAAAATTACTTTGTCTAAGATCAGACTATAAAACCTTATCCTCTATACATGCATATGATGGGTAAATACTTTACAACTGAAGACCAAACGCGTTTCGGCCCCTAAGGGCCTTCCTCAGTGGTCACTATTATCTATATATTCTAGACATACATTCAAAAACCTGTTACAGAGTTTTAGTACACATATAATTTAACCAGATGTTGTTTCCTTGTATACTTATAATTGGACTCCTGGTATTAGTGATGGGCCATAGGTATAGCCATATCACCTCCACAACTTATTCTGGTAACAGCGATTTTGTAGG